TTAAATCTAAGTAGCACAAACAGAAGGATGTTATTTGAAAAACGCAAAGATCTTTGATTCATACATACAATACACAAAAGAAAAGTGAAAATATTGAGCAAGCTCTCAGTTTGAACTCAATTGGATGACAATGAGCCTAGCTACCTTTGCTTTGTTTAAATGTATTTGAAGTCCTAACTTGAGTCTGGGACTGAAACCTGACTGAACCATGTTGCAGAAAGATGGACGACTTGTAAGACTAACTAATCGGTTAAAAAATGAAGCCAAATACCGCTACCAATCTGAGATGGAAAAGATAAAGTTTTTATGCATTCGAATTCAGAAAGAAAGATACTTACATGGGTTATGCAGTACTAGGAATGTACCTCATATGTACCTATTTGACACTCTAAACATAGATTGGAATTTTAACCAATCTGGTTGGTATTTATGTGTCCAATCAATATTTTGGTTAAAACAATGAATATGTTTTTTAACTAGTCTGTAATAGAAAAAGGGGAAACCAATAAAAATTGGTCACTTTGACACAAAATATTGGTTAATCAGTGTAACATATTGAAAGCCTGGACCAGGGCTTAAACCATCAACCTTTTCATTGTTGGGCAAACTCCTCCTTCCAACACCACTGTCTATAATCTTGGTTTACACCAAGATTTGCATGCTGTTCATGTAACATCGCTGTGATTGTTCTCTAGGTCCATAACTACTACACACTACGCCTGACCACACCCAGACAGTCAGATTAGTAGACCATTAGTTACCAGTTTTATTGTTTGTTTGGTTAACCAGTTGAATTAGTTTATCTGAAACAAATGACTTGGTCATTGTCTGACCAATATATTGCTGAATCTAACCAAGATTGGTTTAGCCAACTAGATTGGTTGTATTTCAAACCAATCCATTCTAAGAGTGGAGATACCTCTGAATTCCAACCCAAAATTCTGACTTAGAAAAAAAGTGGAACACAGAAATTTAGTAACTTTATTCTAAACTGATGACAAAAAATCATTAGAAAATGTAATATGATGTATTAAATAGTACTGTAAGTTCTGGTATTCTAATGCAATTAAAGGTATTGTTGGGTGTTAAAAGGTCATAGTTTGCTTTGCAATCAGATGATTGTTGTAATATGTAGTTTCCAGTTTACCTAAAGTATAAATTATTTAGCGCTTCAGGTAATGGTTATTCTTTTCATCCCATTATTTGGTAACCTTTATGTTAACGATAATCACTTTAAGCAAGCGTTTGTGTTAAAAACCTAACCTTGTATTTTAGGTACTACTCATAATAAACCTTGCTGCATTCAATCAACCTACCTGGTTCTGCACTGGGTTAGCAAAATAACTCAACTGGATTGTTCTGAATCTCAGTTTTTTTAGAGTATGTTCTGAAAAGTTTCAGAACCACTAATGCAGAAATTTCATATAATACCTCAGGTTTAAGGCATACAACCTAATTACCAGCTATAGCTATAACACCTTGGTGTGCATACTTGCTATTTTCCATCAGTGCTGCTGGTGTGCAATGCATCGTATGCTAAAAAGAGGTGTAGGCAAACTAGTTTTTGGCCCCAAATAAAAGTTTTTCTTCTGTAGAGTTTCCCTTAGTAAATGTCATATCTTAATTTGTCCCATTTATTTTGAAATGTTTTCTTCCCAGGATGCTTTCTTCCCTATTAATCAGTTTTTTTATCCATGATTTCCTCTTACATAATAGTGTTAGGCTCCGGATGTTAGTCTCTTGTCTTTTTCCTCTTTGAAATAGAGCTGATTTTACTGGACCCCTTGTTTGATGCCCTCCATAATTATTTTGACATGCAAAACACAACAGTTTAAGCACTTCTTAATCCATTTCAGCATACCAAATTCAGCCTGATCAAATTGAAAAGGAGATTTTTTTTTCCTCATAAGCTGATACAGTAAATCACTCCTGCAGAAGAAATGGTGTCAGATGTACTGATTATATTATGGCTGGATAACATCTTTTATGTTTAGACTAAGGCGGAGACATTACTCTCAAAGTGACACCTATGAATAAACGAATGAATAAATTAAAACATCTGTTCATGCTTGACCGCTGGAGTAATGCACACAGGAAATGAGACCCCCTTCTTGCCTGTGGAAGGAGGAATGCAATAATTGAAGCCACTTGTGTCAAAGAAACAACCTCTGAAAATATCTCCAAGTGTGCATGTCAACCAGGAGGGTTCAAAATCTAAACTGGAAATATTCTTTACTTTTACAGTAATTGATTTATTGTGCAATTAAACTGCTGGATTTACAGGTTGAGATGATTTCATCTTATAAATAAAAAGATATATCTTGTAATTTACCCAGTCATTGTGCTCGTGAATATTTTCGCTGATACTTAATGTTTAACATTTTTATATAGTGTGCTGTTTTCTTATCTTTTTACAAAGCAAAGCCACAAAGTTGTTTTGCATTGGTAATAACTAAAATGATGAGTTTTCTAATTGAT